ATTTTGTTTCCCCGCTCGATTTAGCAAAACAATTGACGCCTCGTCACCTGAGCACTAATTCACTTTCCTCGCTAAATTTAAAAGAAAAAATGTCGACACGTGACCGTGTCACGCTACCTATACATTAATACAGTTTTCCCGCTGAATTTAGCGGGAAATGACGTCACTTAAACCTCCGCGCTAATACAATTTTGCCGCTAAATTTAACGGGAAAACGATATCCCATGCCTTCGTGTAACCTTACCTACACAAGTTACCTATATATATTTTTGTTGTTTGTTTCAGGGCTTCTGATGTCCTTGAATTGCCTTTCGGCACTTGTGACGGAAGAAGAGAAGGCCCTCCTCCTTAAAGACGTCACCGAATATTCGTCCAGGATGTGGGCTAACATGGCGGCCGGTTCTTCATCCCTCCCCTCTTGCATGTTTCTGGTGCGCGCCGACAAACCACGACCCTAAGCGGCGTCGGGCAAACACCTGTTTACATACTTGCTGTCTAGAAGCTGTTGGACCAACACCGTATTTCTGGCACTATCGCTCACAGTTCACTTTTTATTGTTTTCCCTATATCCCGCACTAATTGATGTGGAGCAGCTGTTCCAAGGTGGTGGAGAAAGGAGTTATGCAGGCTAGAAAACAAAAGAGGTTTCACAGATGATTTGCGTGATGTCTCCGTCCAACATCTTTTAATAAAAGTCTGTTTCGCTTGACCTTTCTCCGGTTTTTATGCCCCGTTTCCACAAAGTCCGACCGAAGCTGACATTGCGATTTGAAAATACCAATCAAGCACCGCCAAAAGTGCATTGTCCCGGCGTTCGATCGTCTTTGTGTGTGTCAAACCAATCTATCACAGAACGAAGCGCAGGATCATAGACGTTTGCAAGAAGCCACGCTTCGAGAGCTAGTCTGGCTACCGTGGATGAAAAGCACTTTCTTTGGGCGCCAGTCTGGAAACAGTGGGTATAGCTCAGCAATGCTAGACTATTTACTGATCTATCCACACCAACAGCAAGATGGCGGCGCAAAGAAGCAGTACTTGCAAACGTCTATAGCAAACGCATAAATGCTACAAGCACCATGACGATGCACTTTTAACGCCCGCTGGGAAATCCACGTCGTAACAGGTAGCATATACCAGCGGCCTGGTTCGTCTTGTGTAACCGCCATCCGATACCGGTGGAGACAAATCTAGCCGTAACACAGCGAGTCGGTGAACAAAATCATTATTTGGTCACCCATATGGTGCCTGTGAAGCGTCTAGTGCTTGTGTGTTTATTGCGAGTGTTTTTTTTTTTTTTTAAAGAATCATTTAATTTTGCTTTTTTTGTCATAGAACTGTCATTCTGTGGACGACCGCGATCCTGGCGGTGTCAAAGCCGCGGTGATAGATGTGGCCGACGCCAGTTTTGCTCGAGGTCGCTTTCCAGCTCTACACTCCACGGAAACTTCGCCAAACTAGAGATAGGCTCCGCGACCACTACGACATTTGCAGTGGCCGCAGAAGTCGTGTTTGTCTACTATAGTTTTCTGCAGTTTTCTACCCCTTTTCGCCGCATTTAACCACGTTTAACACTCGCATTCCCTTCCAGTTTTAGCCGGGACTTCTAGCACAAACCTCCAAAATCGCGACCTCCGACAGCATGAGGCTTCAGCTTCCCTGATGTCATTTGATGCCACTTCGGAACCACATTTGATGCAAAATTAGGATAGGAGGCTAAACACACCAGTCAAAGACACGTTCCAGGCACTGCACCCATAAGCTTGGCTCAAAGGCCAGTAGCGTTCCAAGTGTCGTTAATGTGTTAGCTAGCCGAATCACTCTTCGGGTTTCCGGGCTTTCTCAAACGGCAGGTTCACGAGGAAAAGGAAAGGCGACGAAAAGAACGTGGAGCTCCGTAGAGCATGGTCCCGTCCGGCTAGGGTAAATTCTGCAGAAACAAGGAGGAGCATAAAACACGTTCTCATAATTCGCCGCGTTCAAAACAACAAATATGGTAGCAAACTGAATGTTTATCCTATTCATAAAATTTATAACAACAACATTACAATGCGCAAAAGGTTCATTTCACTCCCTTTTTATGTCTCCTTGCGTGTTGATCACCATTAATTATAAAGTAGGAATTTCTCATACCAATTTCAATGCGCTTTATAAATTGCTTTACCACTCACCTCCGTTAAGTGCAACAATCTCCCAGCATCTGCTGTTTCAATTTTTGTCTGTGATATTTCCAGGATAGTGAAGTTAACTTGTTTACTTGAATTTATCTGTAACTTGTTTTCCCATGTAGGAAATAGCGTAAAATTGAACTCATTCACCCTGAACATACTCAGAACTCAGTTAGTATTTTCGTCTTCTTCCTTGTTTTTTTATCCGTATGAAAATTGACCATATCTCGCTTCCTTGTCTTCTGTAACAACCAAGTGGCAATGTCTATCACACTTTACCGTCGAGTGCCAAGATATAGCGACTCTTTTTCGGTAAGCGTAAAAAACGAACTGCTAACACAAGTTTAACTCATTTTCATGATGTTGGCTGCCTCTATGAACTCACGTGTTGATGGGTGATAGTTATTTTCAATTACGGTCCTATTTTTGAAGTCCGCAGCGCACCCACAGTCACGGCAGTGAATGCCCAAAACTCCAAAAGCGGGCTCGTGGCCTCATGGTTATCGCGCTTGCCTTGCGCGTAAAAAGTAAGGTTCGATGCCTAGACGCAGGTACACATTTTTTGTTCACTCTGTAATATGATATTCCTGTAAATTCGAGAACCGTGTTGCTGATATAAAGTTAAAATGTTCTACGCGCCGGGCCATCTACGCCGATTGTTCCAGAAGCCCAAGCGTGCATTTAGGGGGCTCCGCGTGGCAAGTCGCTCTCAGTCTTTCGCCAGCGTTTGATCCGGCCACTTCGCCGTCATCGACGCTCGCCTTCGACACCTGTTATTGCTCTTTTGTTTTGGCACAAGTTCGCCTTCTTAAACGTTTAGTTTCTTCGTCGGTCCCCGTCTCGCCAGTCCATCGGTGACAATAACTGAAATGACAATAACAAGAACTGAAAGTTTTCACATTTTGACTTTTTTAATTTAAACTAGTAATATGCAAATACTACCAAGTACCATGTTTGAATCATGTCGTTTAACACCCCAGACTGTGGTGCAGGAAAGGAAAAGCTTTTAGTCGAAGGTACGGGCGCAAGAGGAAACGTTTTAAACTCAGCTAACTGGTTTATTTCTCTAGCATCCTGTATAAAGCCACACAGCCACTCTCAGCCACCGGCTATGCAGAGATCCCCATTGTTGAGGACATTTATAAATACAACTGTTTTAGTATTTCAAGATACTTTCAACAAAGCAGATCTCCGCGCAGATGAGAGTGGCTGCGTGGGTATATATAGCATGCTTGAGGTATAAACCATGTAGCAATAAGTTTGGAACCCTCTTTCTGCGTATGTTCCTTCGACTAAAAGTTATTTTTTTCCTTTTCTGCATCAAAGTTTCAGGGGTTAAACGACATGATTAGATACCAACAGGTCGCCTGCGAAATATCCAGTGATGTAGACTAACCGCATTCTGACCTTAAAGGATTGATGCAACATTTTTGTTCTATACGCGAATACCGCTTAAAACGAATCCCTGACGTTAATGACCAATGAAACTCGCGTTTGTTTTTCTCCCCACGTCAGGACCGTCGCTCAAACAATTAAAGAAAAACGAGCAGCGTTTACTCCCTTAACTTGCAGCCAGAACAATTGGCCTCGTGATCTGAAGTAGATTATAAGCTGCCAGTCTTGATCATAGTCACGCTCTGAGTTTGGCAAACCACAGAACATGCGCTGAGTTACAGACATTCTTAGGGTTCGGCTACTGTCTTCATTGCTGCGATTGGACACGAGCCATAACCAGAATGCTTGTCCAGCTATTGAGTATCAGAGAACCCAAATCGGCTGCTCTCGCAATGCTCGGGTTCCAACTATGAGCCGCATTCATATATTGTCGCTGGGCGACTATGCCGACGCTGCGACCCCCCCCCCCCCCCCCCCGCTTTATGAACCTTTACGACAAAGAGACTGAAAGAAAGCGCTCGTTTTCATCCTTGAAGTTACACCACAACAAAGGTGTTTCTTGGACAAGGGTGTTGCGTGCGAACATACTTGGGTCCTACCAGTGCCAGTATACTCGTTTAAAGTGAAAAAAAGCTCCAATTGAATATCGTTGCACCACACCTTTAACTCTTCAATGTAAAATACTCTTTGCTGTTCGCTTGGTAGGCGTTGAAAGCCGACAGTTTGTCATCAATGAACAAAAATCTAGCTTACGAATCTATGACGCGACGCTCGTTGCTGCTGGTAAAAAGAGGGTTTTGTGCTTGACCAGAAATGACCACATGTCTATAATAGTGTCATATTAACTCGCCGTTTTTCATTATCTCTTGGGGTGCATTTGGAGCTGGCCACGGGCCTCGCAAGAAAACGTTTAATAAGCACAATGAATGCTCTAAGGTCCTTGGGCGAAGAGTGAAATTGGAGATCCGAGCGATAGCGATCTTAACGTCTTTCAGACCTATTGCATAAAACGCATCCTTATATTATGCGTTAATTTAAAATTGACAGATGTTTCAGAATTCACATTCTTTGAAACTTGTTTAAAGATAAGCCAATTTTGTGTCTGAATGAAAAGTCGCCATAATTTTGAGCATGGATCCATTGAAATAATTTTTAATGTCCGTGTTAGAACTATAGTGTCGGGAAAATGATGTATTTCAAAGTATACACAGTGCAGCAGACACTGTGTTTTTGGACATGAAGTTCATGCTGTAGGCTCCATTAGACCGATTTACTGAATAGGTTAAGCAGGCCTTTCTATTCAGTTTGGATCCACTGCCCAGAGACCTGGCATCACTGCTCGACTGCAGCTTTGTTGAACAGATTTTCAGCTGTGTGAAGTCAAAAAATGCACGACAGAAGTTTGCAAAAAATGCATTTTCCTTCGCAAGTTCAGAATAAATGGCAGTTGGAGATGACAGGGACACCTTTAAATTAGTGTCGATAGAAAAGCTGTTCAGCAATCTGCTCCAGTTGAAAAAGAAACCACAACTCTTCATTCACGCGCATAACCCCAACTTGACGAACGCAGGATACAAGTGTTACAGAGACTTCAGGGATGAAAACGTGTACGAGGGGTTACAAGATGTTGTCGGAGACGCGTTCGTAACGACACTCTTTGAGATATTGTATTCAGACGAGGTCAAAATAGCCAATCCTTTAGGTGCGAAACGTGCAGTCCACAAGCTCACAACAATGTACCTCACATTTTTTAATATGCACCCGCGCTACAAGTCCAGGTTGGGGTTCGTCGACTTGGTAGTTCTGGCAAAGTTCAAAGACGTAGTAAAGCATGGCTTTCTGCCATCTTGAAACAAGTCCTTGATGAGTAGGAGGAACTCGGCTGCCAAGGCCCTAGTGTCACGGTAGATGGCGTCCCAGAAACCGTGAAGGTTATTGTGGTGGCAGTCTGTGGCGACAACTTGTCCCAGCACAAGTTGGGAGGGTTTTCGGCAAGCTTCTCTCAGGGGCATATATGTCGCTACTTTACGGCAACAACTGCCAACCTCCATGCAGTGACAAGTGAAGAGCAGTGCCAGATCATGACGAGGGCTGACGACAGCAGTCACCTAGCCGCAGCCAAAGAAAACCCGCAAGACGGTCGCAAGCTGCATGGCGTTGTGGGTCCATCTCCAATGGCACAATTGGCTCATTTTGATGTCACTACACAAGTGGCCCCCGACATGATGCAGGACCTCTTTGAGGGTGCATCTGCTCACATCATAGGGCACGTCACCAAAGGTCTGATTGACGAAGGAGCACTGACCCTGGAGGATCTTAAGAGGGTACATAGCTTTCCCATGGGTACAATGACAGAAAAAACCGTCCGGAACTACTGACAGTAGCATTCCTTCAAGGGGGGCCTTAACGGCACAGCGGCCCAAAAATGGTGCCTGTTCAGGCTGTTTTTCCTGATATTCGGTACATCTGTCCAGGAAGAAAACACGCACTGGAGTGTGCTCCTCCAGCTGCCCAACATTGTCACTCTCGTGCTGTCTGAAAAGATTACTGAGGACTGGGTCGCATACCTTGAAGTCCTAGTGAAAGACTTTGTTGAAGCATTCACGGCAATGTATCCTACAGCTGAAGTCCTCCCAAAGATGCACTACATGGTGCACTATGCAAGACTGACGGCGGCCCTTGTATTTCTGCGCCAGTACTGGTGTCTACGTTTCGAACGAAACACTAGTAATTTAAGTCCATGGCTTCAAAAGTAAAAAAAAAAAATCATCAACCTTTGCAAAACCCTTGCGACTCGGCACCGACTCCTGCAGAGCTACGAAATGAATTCTATCAAGTTTCTTTTATGCCCGAGAATGCTGTGTGCCCGAGCTGTTGACAAAGAGAGCTCTCCAGCTGCTGTCCAAAGCTTGGAAATCGAAGTGGATCTCTTGGATGCAAAAAACGTGTTTTTAGACGCCGGAGACTACAGGGTAGAAGACATCCCGGTAGTATGTACCGGAAAAGTTCCCCAATTCACACAGGTACGGAACATTTATGTCTCAAAGAATGGTGCTTTCCCACTGCTTGAGAGACTTTCTACAAACTGTTTTCACCAACATATCTGTGCCTATGAGGTCACCAAAACAGGGATGTTTCAACTCTCGAAATGTGGTCCTGAACTGGAGGCCTCACATCAGCACTTGTACCTGTACAATGGTGGACATGTGTGTCTTTGTTATGACGTAGTATTTTAAACAGCCAGTGCCCATTCAGAGCCTGTAAATGTGCTTATCGTATTAGTTAGTGTTACATGGCAATGTAAATGGTTTCTTTCGAGGTATGCTGTCCACATTTGAAATGAGACGAGCACTGCAATATAAACAATTCCGTTAACCTTCGGTGGGAAACTCCCTTTGCCTACAGTGCCTGTACAATTTGTTGATCAAGTGGGTTAATAGTTTTCTAATGAGCAGCCGCACACTGTCGCCGCGAAGCGGCGTGAATGTAGGCGGGGGGCTGGCTTAAGACGCTCCCCAGTGACCCACGCGCCGTCCAAAAAGCGTGATCCTAATGGCGTGAGCACTCCGCGTCGTGCGTATAACTTTACTCTTCTCAATAAGCGAGTGCGACCGAGCAACTCGGCAACCTCCTAAGGAAATTCGATTAATGTGCGGGGCAGACATGTGGGAGTTTCTCGTACGACCTCTTAGACGTACGACCGGTTGAACGAACATTCACGCTGGGATGTTGTCTGTCACGCGATCGTCCCAAAACTCTAGGCGCATATCAAATATGCTCGATGAAATGTGCCGAATGAGCCAGTGAAGGCGAATCCTATATCCAGAGACAGAGAAATACTGAAATACATGGACAAGATTCCAGATATTTGTGTACGTTCGTCCTGTCCGGCCTCAGTCGTGGTATTCAATGCTTCATACTTCACTGCACTTAAAGGCAAAATCAAATTGGGTAGGACAGGCGTGCAAGTTCGGCGGAATTGAGGAGGCCATTTGCAACAGATCTGCACGCAGAACTGACCGATCACACCTTTAATGAGAGCACGCTCTTTACTGAACCGCACAAGAGAAGACGACAAGAGTATCCTCACCTCGTTCTGGCGAACATTTAAGTCAACTCACGCCCGCGCGTAAATTGCTGTGCTTTTCTCGAGATTTGGTTAAATTCCTCGAGCACGACGCCAGCTGCCAGCAGTTTACTGCTGTACAGTACATGGTAAAACCCGCGACTGAAGCATGTGGGAGCCACGTGTTCCCCGTCTCCCTATCTAGGCCTAGCACAAGCAGGCCGTGGAAGCGTTATGGCGACGTCATCCCGGATACGGGGGTAAGGCCGCATTCCTCGAAGAGGGCGTGTCTTCCCTCGCCCTTTTGGGTGAAAGTGCCTCCGGCGCACCCTTCGGAAATGATGGTGGACGCCGCCCATCTGCAGGATAAGCCACACTACCTACCCCGGGCGCGTCCACTTTCCGCTGGCTAGATAAGCGGCCCGCGAACGGCGGCCCTGACTCTCGTTTTGGGGGAAGCTCTCGTCGTGAGCCTTTCTTTTTGTGCTTCCCCTTTGTTCCACGAATCTGCCTAAAACGGCAGCGGGGGTCCCCTCCAGGTGAATCTGTCTAATACGACAGCGCCGACACTTTACCGTTCCTTTTATTTATTAGTTTGGCCGACGGGCACAGCGTGGTGGCACAGGAGCCTAATAAACCCGCTTCTTCAGTACCTTTGCGTTTCGGAGTGATTCCTCTCCTCGAAGTCTACGGCAGCCTCCGGACGGACCCGGCCGTAGCAATCCTCAACATCGTGCTACGGAGTGGGATCGACCTCGCGGTGCAGTGAGGTAAGTCAAATACCACATTTGGCGCCCTAACGTGCGGCTCTATGTTGGCTGCCGAAAAAAAAAAAAAAAGATATAGTTTGCAGCAACTATTTGCAAGTCAGACAACCAGGCCAATTTCCGGCCATGGATTTTGGGGGCCGAGGGAGAGGCGAACGCCCAAAACCCGACGCCGCTTATCGGCTTTGGGGCAACTTCAGCCACGCAAGGACACCATGAGCAGGTGTCTTTCCAGCCGAGCTTCGCAAACGGGGTTGACCCGCACTGCCCCGCATGCAACCAGGGCACCCCTTCGCGGAGCGCGCCAGCTTTCGTCGCTGAGCCAAGCCCACCCGTGACTCGCGGAGTAAACACGGATGTGGTCGAACAAGAAGCGATGACGCAACAGCAGGCATGTGCAGCCTCTTAGCTCGATCTCTTCACCCCGGACTGGCCGTCAGCTTCTCCACACGGAGATAACACTGACGCCGGCCACACGCTGCAGCACAGCAATGTTGCTCCAGGCGCAGCGCACCACTCGGCGGGCTCACACAGAGGGAACAGCCCGCCACCCTCACAAGCGGGGAGCGATTCTCACCACAAAGAAAACACGCTCGGCGCATATCACCCCCTGCTAGAAAACGCAACTCGGGTGATCGAGAGCTTGACGGGCGCACTGCAAACAGCAGTTAGGCCCCCACCGCCTGCACGGCCACCGGTTAGAATCCCTGTCCCGACATACCGAGGGTACGGTGACCGATTGAGCGCGACAGACTTCCTCGAGGACGTGAAAAACTACCAACAGGCCATGGGAATGTCAGACAACGAGATACTGGAACGCATCTTGCCAATCTCGTTGGTGGACCAAGCGGCGCGGTGGCTCCGTCTAACCGGAAGCCAGCTGTCGTCGATCGAGCAGTTCCGCAAGGCATTTCGCCAGGAATTCCTCCCTGCAGACTACGAACCCAGGATGAGGCGAGAGCTCGAACAACGGACCCAACACCCAGACGAGTCACTTTTGCAGTTTGTGAGGGCGATGCAGGAGCTCTTTGAGCTGGCGGAACCATCAGCGCCCAATGCAGAGCGGGTGGAGCGAGTCATTCGACAATCGCACCCGACTTTTGCAGCGTATCTCCGAGGCAGTCGTTTTCGCGACTTGAGCGAACTGGCCTCGGAGGCTCGGCGGATCCAGGGAGACATTCTGGCCGCACGAGCGTATCGGCCCCCGCCGCCAGCGTCAGCGGCACTCGAGCCGCGCTGCGCGTAGAACGGGGACGCGGCGTCCCGAAACAGGAGACACGACGGCGCCTACTACGCAGACGAGCGAGGTCGGAACTCGTACGTCATATCCGATCGTGCGCTCGACCCGTACTCCTGTGGACAGAGGGCAGCAGAGACTGCGCCGCAGTTCAACAGGCGAGATCGGAACACGGAGTTACCGACGCCACGGGAAGAAACGCGGCCAAAACGTCCGTACACCCAGGACGAAAGGGGCGGCGCGCATCAGAATCCGAGACAGGACTCAAGAAGGGTCACGCAACAGCGTTGCTTTCGCTGTAACAGCGCAAACCATCTGGTTCGACAATGCCCCGAAGGACAGAACCCCGGTTTCCGACAGACGGGAAACGAGCAAAGCCGCCGATAACCAGCCCGGCGGCTAACGGCGGCACGGAGCAAGATACTCTTTTGCCGTCGGCCTATAGAATAGGCTTTCCGGCAGGCACGCCAGCGCCATTCATAGCCCTGACGATTGTCGGCCAGACGTTCAAGGCACTGCTGGACACAGGAGCCAGCGCCTCACTTTTCGGAGACGAAGTGTTGACCCACCTCCGGCAAAACTCAGTGCGTCTGAGGGACGGCAACACGGCTTTCCGACTCGCGTGCGGTACCGCCCATTCAAGCGGTACAGTGCGGTTGGTTGCGAGATGGGAGACCCGAGTAAGACGGCAACGCATTGTTCATCTCCCCAATCTTTCCGTTCCAATCATCCTGGGCAGAGATTTTCTCGCCAAAACAGGCATTGTGATCGACGTGGGTAGCGGTGGCTACCGAGAGGGCACTTTCGCTCCTCTGGAACCCTTCTGCGAACCCCCAACTTCAGAAAAACCACTGGTTAATGGGGCAGGCAGCAGCAGCCGAGACGAAGCAACAGCCTCCAAAGATGGGGCAGGCAGCAGCAGCCGAGACGAGGCAACAGCCTCCCAAGAAGCGAGTACGAACTCCTCGGCACGTTCCTCGACGCCAGATCAAACGAGTGCCGTAGTGTCGGAAGTAACGCACCCCCTGCTGACAGAGTCATGCAGCGTGTCAGGGCGAGAAAAAGCCCGTTTGTCGAACTTGTTGCGATATTATGAAGCAATGTTCACGGATCGGCCCGGGTGCACAAACCTAGTGCAACACCGGATCGACACTGGCGACACGCTTCCTCGAAGGCAAAACGCGCGCCCCGTCAGTCTGTCTAAACGCAAAGCCATCGACGTTGCGTTGGACGAAATGATCGACACCGGAGTTGTCCGACGGTCAAACAGCCCCTGGGGATTCCCTGTTGTGTTGGTGCCAAAGAAGGACGGCAGTTCACGTCTGTGCATCGACTACCGTCGTCTGAATGACGTCACGCGGAAAGACGCATATCCGCTACCGAGCATTGACTCGATCCTGTCCAACCTCGGCAGCGCACGGTATTTTACAACCTTGGACGCCAGCCGAGGTTATCTCCAAGTTCAAATGGAGAAGGGTGACGAGGCGAAAACGACCTTTGTTTGTCACCGCGGGCTTTTCGAATTCACGAGAATGCCCTTTGGTCTGTGCGGAGCTCCAATGACGTTCCAGCGATTGATTGACCGAGTACTGGGAGAAGCCAAGTGGAGCCATGCAATGGCCTACCTCGACGACATTGTCGTCTGCTCCAACACCTTCGAAGATCACCTACGAGATTTGAAGGATG